ACAGAAAATCTATAGCTTTTGCATTTAAATTATAGAAGTTACTGCTTGAGAAACACGACAAAGGATAGTTCAGTTGACATCAGGTTGTTGAGATGGATGAGCAAGAAGTGTGTAGATCCATTCAGTCGTAAAGTAGTGCTAATTGGATACGAAAGAAATTGGTTGAGGGACGAGACCAAAACAAACATAAGGTTTTAACTCACTAGGTAACACCTTCTAATGGAAGGTTTTAAATGATGTTATTACTTTCAGTAACATTGTAGGAAACAATTTCTAACCATATTTTGCAGAAACTTTTTGGTAAATTTTCTTTCCCTTTTTCCTTATTTCAGGAGCAACAAATGGTGATGCCAGGCCATCGAGAATCCAACCTCCAAAAGGAATTGAACCGTTACATTCCAACAGCCGCTGCCTTCGGAGGCATGTGCATCGGTGCTCTAACAGTTCTAGCTGATTTCATGGGAGCAATTGGTTCAGGCACAGGAATCCTTCTCGCCGTCACCATCATATACCAGTATTTTGAGACCTTTGAGAAGGAAAGAGCGAGCGAGCTCGGTTTCTTTGGACTTTAAATCGGTTAACTTTATACATATATGAGATAATGAATGAGACCTTGCTTGCAGTTTTGAACAGACGTAAACTTTTCAGAGAGGTCAGGCTGCAGAAAATTCGGAAGTTTAGAAAGGAATATTTGTAGTGAAGAATATATGAGAGGGCGGTTGAAGCCAGAGGTGGCAATACCTACGTTAATTAAGTGTTTATGTATTTTTTTCCCCCTTCAGGTAATAACTTTTTTGTGAGAGGTTTAACAAGAGGGGAAAATTGACTCCCCTTGTTACGTTTGTCTGGAGTAGAATTCCGTTGAAATTGTAATACTGAATTAGTTTCTTATGATTGACTTGCGTGTGTTATCACTTCTGTATGTGTTGTAACCCCCTTGTTACTGAATTAGATTTTTTTCCCCCCTCCATGGTTACTCATTTGGTATTCTGTATTGGTTTTTAGGGTTAATTGCAACCAGTCCTCATGTAGTATCACCGAGTTACAAAAAGAACCCTTATAGTTTTATTTGTTGGGAATACACCCCCTATAATTTTACTTGCTGTGAATAGATCCCTGAGTGAATTGTTTTTAACTCTTAAAGTTATTAGAAATGTTTGGGGATGCGGGTAGACCACCTATAGTTCTATTGGTGAGGATAGCTGGATAGGTATCCAGTTGCTATCTATTCTTAATTTTGTTTTACTTTTAAAAGAGTTAAAAAAGTTCACTAGTGTATTGTACTTGGGCTAATACTGAGGGGTCTACTTGCAAAAAGTAAAACTACATGGGGTTTGTTGGTAACAAATAGGACTACATGGAGTCTCTTTGATACTAAGGGGTTTAGTTTGCAATTAATCCTAGTTTTTATACGGACAAATTTTCAAAATAGATTTTTTTTAAAAAATAAAATTATCAATTTTAACCTATTGCAAAATATTTATCAAAATCTACCTAGTTTCAGTCATGTCAGTAAAACCAGGTCGTTTTTAATAATAAAAAAAAGCTTCTAAACTCCACGGTATTGGCAATCCTGTAAATTCTCTTCAGGAAATTTTCAATCTTGTAGACTTTACGATTTTTTTTAAAATCATCCTAGTTTCCAAAATATTTATCAAAATTTGCCTAGTTTCAGCCAACGTGACAGAAATTAAGTCTATTTTGATAAATATTTTGGGATTAGGTCCATTTTTGACAAATTTTTTTGGGAATAGGTCTAATTTAGAATTTTTTTCCTTTTTATACTGATGATGGAAACTGTAAAACATGAAGAACACAATATTTATTAGTCAATAAAACCAGACTATATAGTGTTGGGTGTATCGAATATAGCAAGCTTCTAGCTAGAAGCTCACTTGCTTAGTAATTTTTTTTTATACTAATCAATAAATCTGGAATCACTAGCCTGTAACGTTTATCGGATATATTTTAGATTTGGGAAAGGGGCCACGCGTAATTTGGAATAAAATGCATCGCCATTTAAATACGGGCCGGGTTTGTACCCGATTGGGGCCCAAAACCCGTTAGGACTCTTCGCCAAAACATCGTCCCCCCGCCTCTTAATTCGCAAACAAGACAAAAGCGCAGAGAAGGCGAGAAATCGTGAGAGAGAGAGAGAGGAGAGAGAAAGCGCGGGAAAAAAAAACCCTAAAAAAAACGCAGAGAGCGATAGAGATGAAGGGGGAGAATGGAGGAGGAGAGAGGGGATGGAGTTGGAGGGGGAGTATACTGCCGCTGGCGGC